CAAACCCGCCCTGAATGAGACAACCCATAATTAACCCCTTGGTTACCAACGTCGTAACTTACAACTTAGTCGCGAAATTAAGTCGTAAGTTACGACTTTAAAATATATTTAAACAGAAAATGGCTCCGATCTCGCGAACCAATACTTTAATCAAGTGATTTTTCCGTCGAAAACAATATAAGCTGGGAGAGGTAGCCATCGGCCGGGAAAAAAAAGGTAGCAACTGGGTTCACATCCCACTCTTTGGAACCGTATTTTATATGAGCTCCACCAACCGGTGGTTCGCATCCTTCATTGCAGATTTTGCTTTGACGATGCCATACCGAGTCAGCACCCGTACGAAGGCCCAGGCTCAAGCCGCCCCCGAAGTCTCCGCTAATGTCGACGTTCGAGACGTTAACTTCACGACCCTGTGGAGGCAGCTCACCGCGGAAGGCTGGACATCCAAGCGTCCTACGCGATTGCAAATGTCGTGGTCGTACTACAGTCCAGAAGCGGCAAAGGACAGCCCCGTTGAAGGCGTGAATATGTTTACAGGTAGCATTGTTATGTATTATGTTTATATCAGTGTTGTTTAACTTGTATGTCTGGATGTGCTGTGTTGTTTATCATTAGGTGAGGCCGCTGTCGTGAAGTACGCTGTAGCGAAAGGTATTGTGGCGACCGCCGCCAACCTCGAAGCCAGTGAAGACGATACCAACTGTGAAGACGAGGCCAACCGTGTGGACGAAGCCAACCGTGAGGACGAAGCCAACCGTAAGGACGAGGCCAGCCGTCAAGACGTCAACCACGAAGACTTGGTCAACCGCGAAGGCGAGAGCGTGACCAGAAGACTAGAGAGTCTCTTTGGATCTGATAGCGAGGAGGAGGCGTGCAAGCTGAATACAGCAACGGAAGATAACGATGATGAGCACGACATCGTTACGGCTTCGCAGATTGACACTACCGTAGCACTATCAGCAAACACTGTAGATGCCATGTTTGGAGGAGCACAGAGCGAAGAAGAGGAGGCTGCAGTGATGATGGCGTCACTTTGCGATGCACCCCCGTTGGCATCGAGTTTTCCGGCAACCAGTCCTCCTACAGATCCCGTGACCCCGACCATGCCTACTCGGGAACCAGTCGTCACCGACCCTGCAAACCCATTGGTGCCCCCGAATCCAGACGATGTGAACGTTATGAAAGACGACGATGTTGAAGATGACTACGAGAGCATTGATTCGTCGTCCGACGGCACAATCTCGTCGGGTGAAGACGATGTTACGACCCAACAGCCTGACGCAGACGTATCCTCCGACGAAGATGAAACCTCCGAACTCATGGATGCAGCTTTTATTGATTGTTTGGGTGGTTCGTTAGCTATTGAAGACATGGACCAAAGCACGCTGCGCTCGATGGCGTGGACGACACCATCTACGCATTTCGAAAGCAATGCCAGCTCATTCGATGGTCTGTCGCGCGATGTCGCGAGACCTTCGGTTGAGATCATGTCCAAGACGGATTCACCGCTGGATTTGCTGCTTTTCTTTATGCCTAAGAAGCTTTGGACCTACATCACGCGTGAGACAAATCGCTACAAGTACACAAAGCTGGATGAGAAGGCGAAATTGGAGCGTGCACGGCTTGTGCGCGAAGGACAAGGTGGACAATCATTGCGTGATATTCGGAGGCGTTTACGGGCGGAGCCTGACTACTCGCCACGCGAGATCCTGCAAGTGATGGGTCTACTAGTGGCTCACATGCTGAGCCCGACTCGGCCATTCTCCGACCATTGGGCTATGGTCGGTGATGGTGCACTTCCTAGTGGTACTTTCGGGCAATTCCTCGCACGCAATCGGTGTACATCAATATTGAGTGACTTGCACTTCTGCAACAACGACGCAGCAAACAAGCGAGACAAGCTGTGGAAGCTTCGAGCAGTCGTGGATGTGATCCAAGACCGGTTTTTGAAAGCGTGGAGTGTATCTAATGTTATATCCTTTGATGAAGGTGTTCTACCTGCTACATCGAAGCGGAACAGCACTCGGATGTTCATGCCGGATAAGCCACATCGGTATGGAACCAAGATGTTCATGACGTGCGACTCCCGCACTGCGTACTGCCATAGGTTCGATTTTTTTTTTTGCTTTTTTCAATTAAGTCGTAACTTGCAGCTTAGGTGTTTTATCTAAATTTTTATGCTGCAACTTCTTGCTTTAGGTTTGAAGTATATGTTGGAAAGCGCCAAGCCCAAGATTCAGCACAACAAGTGTTTGATCACAAGACAGGAGCTGCAGCGGTTATCCGTAATTTGAAAGCAGTGCTTGGTGAAACCTACGCTGGGTTCCGAATCATTGTTGTGGATAGGTTTTACACTTCCGTGGCGCTCGCACTCCAACTACTCTCGATGTCAGTGTACATGGTGGGTACCATCATGACATCAAGGCTGGGGTTCGACAAGGAGGTTGTGGAGAAGCGCAAGACGCGCCCGAGCTCGATTAATCGTGGGTCATTCAAGTTTTCTCGCTCAGTCGCGGTGCCTACCATGGTTGCCTGTCATTGGTGGGACCGCAAGCCTGTACACTACCTGGCAACGGGTGTGTCTATGGCTGAGGACAAGATCAGACGGAACTTGAAGGCAGCGGGGCAGTCCACGTTTCCCTGCCCCAAGTTGGTGACGGACTACCAACGCTGGATGGGCGGAGTTGATGTGCATGATCAACTCCGCCTCCAGACGTACTCTGTGCAAACTGCCTTTAGATTTCGCAAGTACTACAAGGGCCTATTTTTAGGGCTGTTCGACCTCGCATTGGTCAACGCATATATAACGCACAAGGAAGCGTCTCGAATTAGAGGTACAACCCCAGTCAAGCGTCTCGAATGGTTCAAGATGCTGCACAAGCAGCTACTACAAGTGACGGACGACTACTTCACGCTAAGCACGCCGGAGAAGTCACCGTGCAATCGTAAGCGCCGCCGTAAGACCTCCCACCAGCTGAAGCAGCTCGACGATTGGGTCGTCGTCTCCGGCGTCCAGAAGCGACGCCAGCGCGCGTGCAAGGTCTGCTCCCTGTACCGTGGGGAGCAGAAAAAGAGCTTCCAAACTACGTTCTACTGCGAGGACTGCTCCAAGGGAGACGCCAAGTTCTTCTTGTGCCCTAAGGCACGCAGGGGCACCGACACGACGTGCTTTCAAGTGTGGCACGACGACTTTGAATGTGGAGCCGCGATACCGAGTCACCTTGGAAAACGCGTCGTTCTCCGCCGCGCACCGAAGGCAGCAGGCGTGCACAAGAGTACCAGGCGGGAGCCACAAGAAGAGAAGAAAGAAGAATGAGCTGGTAAGGCTCCCAAGATTAGCACGCCATTAGCTTCTTTTTTGAACTTCAAATTGACTATTGGTCTTTGCCTAGTTTTTGTGTTTTTATTGGTTATGCTATAACCACATCCGGATCCCTTTTCACAATCAGCTGGGATGCCTATGCTGTAACTTGCTGCAAACCGGTCATTTTGAGCGCATTTACGTCGTAAGTTTTACGACTTAATACGTAGAAACCTCTACCAACTAATAGTCCCATCCTAGTGTGTATCCTTGTGGAAAGGACCTGCCTATACAAATGTGAAGGTTAAATTATGTTGTAAGTTACGGCATAAAATTAAGTGGCTGTCGGCCCGATTTTTGCAGTAATCAAGGGGTTAACATGCAATTAGCCGGCCATAGGGCATAATTAAGGTTGAGAAGGGAACACAATTATGCAGAATAATAGCGGCATAATTACTGAAAGGCACGA